AGTCCGGCTATTTTGTGTAGTGTACTCAACCATGTGTTGGAAGAGCTTAACTTTATGTCGCTTACGGCATCACGTATAGGTCTTAAAATGTGTCATGTCATGGCTGATAAAGTAGCCCCTGTAGTCTTAAACAACCACATTTAGGTTAGTTTATTTGTGTTCAATTAGTTCAGTTTACATTTAATTATCATTCTTTGCCTTATGGGCGTTGCAATGTCACTGGTGGTAAATTCGATAATAGCTACAGTTTTTACTGTTTTACTCACTCGTGTTCTCGTTATCCTTACTAAGTTTTAAAACTGGACGACCTTGAGTTGATTTACAGCGCCTGTAACAAATTGACACTTCTGATTTTTTTTTTTGGGGGGGGGGTTATTCCTTGATACGCCCTTGTTCGCGCGCTCAGTAGTGCGTATAACCTTCGTCACATATCGAGTAAGAACGGTAACAAGCAGGTACCTCGATGTATTATTAGGGATTACTATTATGCAACTACGATAAAATGCGGAATTTAAAATATTAATACTAATCTAACATATTATAAATAAGGAACTAAACAGAGACACGGATCAAATTAAATGAACTTAAGAAAAAATCACGGGAAAAAGGTAGCAGTAAAAATGTCACCTAACGTAGCCGAAATTGTGACTTTTCTTCTGTGACTTTTTTCAGGTCACCAATTAAACACGCAAACATGGGGTGCTAAGTAAGGTGGCCAGTGATGATAAAAAAATACCGGCACCAGGACAGCTAAGCCATTGCATTTATATTTCTTAATCAAATGACTCGAACCTAACGTAGTCTAACCTAACAATCCCAGAGTAATTTTGGTTAAGCCAGGATAGTTTTGGCTGGAGCTTGGTAGCTTTGGTTAAGCTTAGGATAATTTAGGCTAGGTTAGGATGGCTTTGCTGAGGTTAGGATAACTTTGGTTAGGAAAAGGTAGCTTTGGTTAGGTTAGGTTAGTTTTGCTGAGGTTAGGATAGTTAAAATAACTGGTTAGGTGTGGGTAGTTACTGGTCTGGCCAGGATAGCTCTGGTTGGGTCAGTATAGCTGTGGTTGGGCCAGGATAGCTCTGGTTAGGTCAGGATAGCTTTGGTTAGACCAGAATATCTGGTTAGGCCAGGATATCTCTTGATTAGATCAGGATAGCTTTAGTTAGGTCGAGATAGCTCTGGTATTTAGATTAAGTTAAAGCTGGGCTAGATTTTCGCATGTGGACGGTGCTGTAATGTATATCTAATTGCCATCTAGATCTGAATTTAATTTAAGACCATTGGTATATAATACGAGTATATGTTCGCTCCTGATTTGATAGTTTAATTACCTTAGTTATATCACCTATATTTAACGGTTAAATTTTAACCCCATCTTTTACTTGGACGGCGGTGTGGTAACTTGACACATGTGGTTAGCGCTAGTTTTATACTCGTGGGTGGCGCTGTGCTAGTTTTATACTAGTGGGTGGCGCTGTGCTAGTTTTATACTCGTGGGTGGCGCTGTGCTAGTTTTATACTCGTGGTGGCACAATATGGTTTTATACTGAGTGGGTGGCGCTGTGCTAGTTTTATACTCGTGGGTAACTGTGCTAGTTTTATACTAGTGGGTGGCGCTGTGCTAGTTTTATACTCGTGGGTAGCGCGCTGTGCTTGTTTTATACTCGTGGGTGGCGCTGTGCTAGTTTTATACTACTAATTGGGTGGCGCTGTACTGGTTTATACTCGTGGTGGCTTTGTGCTAGTTTTATACTAGTGGGTGGCGCTGTGCTGGATTTTATACTCGTGGGTGGCGCTGTGCTTGTTTTTATACTCATTAGGTGGCGCTGTGTAGTTTTATACTCGTGGGTGGCGCCGCGCTGGTTTATACTAATTATGGGTGGCGCTGTGCTAGTTTTATGCTCGTGGGTGGCGCTATTGTGTTTTTATACTCGTGGGTGGCGCTGTGCTAGTTTTTATACTGAGTGGGTGGCGCTGTGCTGGTTTATACTCGTGGGTGGCGCTGTGCTTGTTTTTATACTCGTGGGTGGCGCTGCTAGTTTATACTCGTGGGTGGCGCTGTGCTGGTTACCTCACTAGTGGGTGGCGCTGTGCTGGTTTATACTCGTGGGTGGCGCTGTGCTTGTTTATACTCGTGGGTGGCGCTGTGCTAGTTTTATACTCGTGGGTGGCGCTGTGCTTGTTTTATACTCGTGGGTGGCGCTGTGCTAGTTTTTGCCTTATACTAGTGGGTGGCGCTGTGCTGGTTACATACTCGTGGGTGGCGCTGTGCTGGTTTGCTTATACTAGTGGGTGGCGCCTGTCTAACTGGTTATACTCGTGGGTGGCGCTGTGCTTGTTTTTTATACTCATTGGGTGGCGCTGTGCTGGTTTTTTTATGCTCGTGGGTGGCGCTGTGCTTGTTTTATACTCGTGGGTGGCGCGTGCTAGTTTTTATACTGGTGGGTGGCGCTGTCGGTTTTTAGCATACTAGTGGGTGGCAACTTCAATGCTAGATTTATACTCGTGGGTGGCGCTGTGCTTGTTTTATACTCGTGGGTGGCGCTGTGCTAGTTTTTATACTCGTGGGTGGCGCTGTGCTAGTTTATACTAGTGCTGGGTGGCGCTAATGCTTCTGTTATACTCGTGGGTGGCGCTGGTAACAGTTTTTTATACTAATTGGGTGGCGCTGTGCTAGTTTATACTCGTGGGTGGCGCTGTGCTTGTTTTATACTCGTGGGTGGCGCTGTGCTGGTTTATACTAGTGGGTGGCGCTATTGCTAGTTTTATACTCGTGGGTGGCGCTGTGCTGGTTTATACTAGTGGGTGGCGCTGATATAGTTTTATACTCGTGGGTGGCGCTGTGCTGATTTTTATACTCGTGGGTGGCGCTGTGTGCTAGTTTTATACTTAAAGTGGTGGCGCTGTGCTAGTTTTTATACTCGTGGGTGGCTGTGCTTGTTTTATACTCGTGGGTGGCGCTGTGCTGGTTTTATGCCACTAGTGGGTGGCGCTGTGCTGGTTTATATCGTGGGTGGCGCTGTGCTGGTTTTTATGCTCGTGGGTGGCGCTGTGCTAGTTTTATACTCGTGGGTGGCGCTGTGCTAGTTTTATACTCGTGGGTGGCGCTGTGCTAGTTTTATACTAGTGGGTGGCGCTGTGCTAGTTTTATACTCGTGGGTGGCGCTGCGCTAGTTTTACGTACGGCTTTCCTGCTGCTCTTGCTGACGTGGCCGCTATTGACGAAAATCATTGATTCGAAGACTGTCTCCCCCCCTCACGCCATGAGCAGCCAAGCTCAATGTGACCAGATAATGGAAACTGTGCGTGAGCTGAGGAATTGATATAAGCTAAGGAGATCGTGGTGTGAGAACTAGGCTATTCGTTGTCTGAAGGTTAGGTAAACTTACTTTTATGATAATTTTTAGGTTAAGTTTTATTCAAAGTTAACTTACTGTAGGTTAAATTAGTTTTAAACGTGGTTATGTTAGATTTGGTGTTAGATTAGGCGAGTGTACTTTTTTAAGGAAGTTTGGTTTGGTTTGGTTATGTTAGGCCTGAAGTTTTAGGATAAATTAGGTTTGGTTAATTTCTAGATTACGATAGGTTAAGTAAGGTTAGGATGTAGGTTTAGATAACTTAGTATAGGTAAAGTTGGTAGGTTAGAGCAAATTAAATTTAATTATTAATTGTTTTGATTAGATTAGATTCGGTTACATTAGGCTTGGTTAGGTTTGATAATGTTGCGTTGTTTACGCTAGATTGTGTATACATTTTAGCAAACCAGGGTTAGTTTAAGGTGAGTAAACAAGTTAGGTAATGTTAGATTAAATTAAGTTGTAAGGTAGCTTAGGTTAGGGACCAATGAACTGTCGGTATATGGAGCTGTAACTATAAACTGCGTGAACTGAGATATTGGAGTTAAAAGCATTTGTTTTCATATACTGTGGGCACGACTCGGTCGATAAATTAAAGTTTACCCCGGCTGGTGTGGTTCTGGGTTTATTTTTTATTTTTATTTTAGTTAATATGCACCAAAGATATATAGGAGTAAAAACTAATTTAAAAATTGCGGACCCAAACAAACCAACACTATTATAAGTTACAGGGCTAAGGGTTAAATTATCTGAGATTATTTGAAATAATTAAGGGATTATTAAAAAATAATCCTAGGATTATTTTAAGTACATGGTATTCCTGGGATAATTAAAACTCGTCTTACGCAAATACGCTTGTCAGCTGGACTAAACTCTTGTGTTGAACAGGGTTTGAGCTGAATATGTTATCTACGCCGTGGTTGCAGCACCCAAGGCTGCCAGGGGCCCTCTGCGGGGTCTAAGGGTATTTAGGGCTCTCAGCAGGGTGTAAGGGCACTACCCAAGGCAATGATGTAGGAGGCAAGGCATCCCGCTGGTCGTGGAATTTCATAATTTGAGATATTTCTTATAGGCTGACCCTGAGGTGTTGTCTCCACTCACTATTATCAAAGTTTTTTATTGTGTGAAAAACTGACGCAGTGCTGTAAATCTAATTGACTTGAAAACATGAGAAAACTGTACCTGCACCGCCGCAAGCGATACGACTGATGGTCACAGTGAGGAGGAGTTTAGGAGGAATGTGGAGGGAATGGATGTTAGTGAGTTGTGTCTATAATAGCGAGGAACGTGACAATAAGCTTGTTGACAAGTTGAGCTCCTTCCTCGTTATGTCAGTCCACGTTGCTACCAAGTTATGTACGAAACTGATTGGTATGTGTGTCACCACCTTTCACTTACACACACACACACACACACACACACTGTTCAAGGATTAATAACATACTATATATCAATAAGTCAAGTTCTGGCTGCACCTGGTCAACACGCGCCTAACCAATATTTTCTTTTTACTGACAGCCGCGATACAGAAACGCACTCCTCATTGCCTTTTGCCATGATCTTTGAACACAATGAAGAATATTATGAATCATCATGTCAAAATACAGGAATATAGTACGATGGATTGATTATTTTTTCTTTCTGCAGGGTCGAAGTGTCACACCGATGGAGAATATGAGAGTGGAGGCGTGTTGACCTTGAGTGTACCTGCGTCAATTACTAAGAGGAATGTACCCCGTGACCGGCCAGCCCCGTGCCCACCCTGCCTCCACCTTGCTGCACCAGGGCTAACAATCTCTCTCCTCCACCCAACCACGATAAAGGATTTTACTTTATCCCCGTGCATGTTGCGGGTTGAAGAAAGTGGTAATGTGGATTGGTTGATAAGATTTAGTGAAGAACTGCAATAACCAGTGATACAGTGAACCAAAAGGTCTAATAAACCTTAAAGTGAATAGCTGATAAAGTGGCTGATCAAATAAAAAACTGTGCCTTTTTTTAGTGAAATAAGTTGTGTTCAACAGTGTGTAGAGGAAGTGAACGGTGATTAACGGAGGCCGTATAATCTGACCAGTATAGCCACATGCACCAGCTGCTGCTGCGACGCCTACAAACAGGCCTCCCTGCTGGAGGCATCAAGGCTTCAGGGCGCCCTCCTGTTGGGTGCCGCTAGGATGTCAGGATGGAGCGGGACAGACGAGGGCTCCGTTTGTCAGCTGGGGGTGCGCTGCTCACACTGTTTGCCTTCGTGGCAGCCGTCGCAGCAGCTTCCTCCCCCAACTGGGCCTCCTTCACCGGTAAGTCACTCACTTCCTGCACCTTAGCAGTAGCCCTGATCTGGTATGTTTACACCAGATTCTCTATTAAGTGGGTAAGTTGGTGTAAGTGAGAGTGGTCGTAGTGTGTATGGTGGGTGGGCGGGCGTCACAGGGTCTGCTGGCGTCTGAAGGCTCCGTCTCTTCGGGATGTTGGACAGTCATTGTTTGATGGACCCTTTCAACCCCCCTTCCTCCCCCCTCCTCCTCCTCATCGAAATACCACACTAAGGTGTACATCCCAGACTTAACTTACACTCCGCAGTGCATAAAACAAACCCCACACAATACACACCTCACCTGCGACGATAGAGTACAACATGTCACGCTGTTGAGCATTGGGTATTTGTTATGTTTAAGGGGCCATAGAATACTGTATAGACATGATGTGAAGGGCCAGAAAGAAGGATGAGAAAGAGACTTAGAAGGACAAAGGGGTAGAATAAATAGAAAAGGGAAGACAATTAGGGTTAAGTAGAAGGATGAACTTTTAAATATTATAGGAGAGAGTTTGTGAGGGTAGAGCGATGGCAGGATTAGATTAGTTCTTGTGGTCTGGCAGAAGAGAGAGTTGGAGGTCACCTGTGAGGAAGGGAAAGGAGTAGGATAGCAGGAAGAGGATATAGCACAAGGATCGTTCATAATGGAAGGAAACTGACTGAGAGAACAAAGAAAACGAGACTAGGTTGAGGTCGACAGGAGAGAGGAGTGGAGGGAGGGAGGGCGAGACAAGTTAGCCTAGCGTGTTCTTAACCAAGCTGGAATTACTATTTTATGGAATTATAGTCTGACGCCGTCATATTACAGTTAGCCAGTTGGTGTAAATTTGATGTTGTTTAGGTTTTACAGTGAAATTTTTGTTTGGTTAGATATTTTTGAAGTTATTTTTGTAGTTTTGTTGGGTTGGATATTTGCCAGGGTACGTTTGGTTAGGTTAGATTTTGTTAGGTTCGGTTAGTTCAGGTTATTTTTGTTGCAATGTTGGATTGGTTTAGGTTAGTGTTAATTTTTTATCAGGTTAGGTTTTTTATAGACTTGGATGGGTTTGGTTAGGCTATAGGTTAACTTTTTCTTAGGTATTTTTGTATGGTAGGTGATGTATTTATTTTTTGTTAAATTAGATTAGGTTTTTGTCAAGTTAAGATACACTTTTGTGGGCTTAGGTTAAGGTTCTTACCATAGATTAGGTGATTTGTTAGGTTAGATTAGGTGAATTTTTAGGTTAGATAAGGTTAGGTTACGTTAGGTTAGATAAGGTTAGGTTACGTTAGATTAACTAAATTAGGTTAGGTGAATGTAACGGCTCCCGGACGTGCGTCACACACACACACACACACACACACACACACACACACACACACACTGAGGAGACGAGAGCCTGTGTCGCTGTGCATTATTACGGACGGCTGTGACGTGTTCTTAAAAAGTCCTCTTGTAAGTGTGTGTCCTTGGTGAAGAATATAGTTATGTACAAAATTATATCCATCCCCGTGTTTCGAGTGCAATGTGTTACTTCCTAAAGGGACTTTGGAAACATATAACATCAAGGTACTCCAACTATAAACATCAAGGGACTATAAACACATACGTCAAGGGCTTGGTAACACAAACATTGAGAGACTAAACACAAACATTATCGGGCTTTGTAAACTTCCTGTATGTATTGTGATGTTATGACATTTGTCTGTGCCATTCTAATACACTTATGTTGTTTTCCAGTATACACTCTTGGAACAGGTTAGTTTATTATGAATTTCACGTGTTTATTAGCACCCACCTCATAAGTAATTCACCACACAGAGAATGTCCAATGGCATTGCACGTCTAATATCCAAAACAAGATGTATATTGTAAAAAATCTGCACGCTACAATCCACTTTTTTTTCATAGTAAACTGCGAGTGCATGGTTAGAAAATTTGAAATGATAGTAATATATTATTGTGTATGAGACAGTTCTTGGTTTACCTCGAGTGAAACTACTGTCGCCACTTCTATCAATGTCATGTAGTGAAACTCGGCCACTTTCCCCATATGAGGGAAAACAGTGTGGATTAAACCTGCTGTCACTGACCACTGTACCCTACCAAGCTGATAACTTAACTAGCTCGCTTTTATTGAGAGGGGGAGAAATAACCTTCTTATCAAAGTAGATGTACTTGCAAAATCCATCTCCAATTTGGTTAATGGAGATTATACGAGTATAATTGACAGCCATACATACAGTATAGTTAGCTACGAGGCTAGGCCCGTGAAAAGTTACATCAATTATATATATTTTTTCAGATAAAGGTGCAATTACAATAGAGTACATGAAACATTGAAGAAAAATAGCCGCTAGTCTGCCTGTGCGACGTAGCTGTTCCTCCAATAAACAACAACCTGTATGGAGTTTACAAAGTCTAATGGTAGCCAAACGTGTATATAGTTTGTAATAGAGGATCATTGGCGTGGACAATTTCACCAGAGCGAAAGATTCTACAATTCCAACGTAAATCTGAGAATAATTTCATGCAACTAGAGATTCTTTGGTGAAAGGGTTGAGGGGTGTCCATAGTGGCTCTTACAATGTAGGCGACGCCCAAGGCTAGTCAGATAGGAAAGCAAATACTGTTATACTAGAACCTAACAGTGAGCAATAAAAAATAAATACAAGAAAAACCTATAAAATTTTAGATTCAAATTGATAGTAGAATATCTTGTAGCCGATAATTAAAGAGCGGTAATACGGTAGCGTATTTTAATTGGTCCATTATACCTACGGCTTATCGCTCAAAGATAATTTAGTTTATTGATTATATAAACTGGTAATTGTGGGTGTGTCATATACATTAATTACAGGATTTTCGTTCATATTTTTCAGCTGTAGAGTTTTAGCTGAAAGAGCTTAAAAATGAACGTCTTGGTGTGGTGAGGGAGGAGGAAACAGTGCGCAGCAGGGTGGCTCAATACACAACACGTACCACTGGCCCGTATCCAGATTCCCGCAGTTTTTGTAAAATAATATTTATCTTCTAACTGATACCAAGAGAAGAGACCATGTTGAGGTAGAGTCTGTGAAAGTGTTCAAGTGACATTTTAGACGTTTTATGTATGCTTTAGCGAAACCTTTGAGATATGACAGTCACAATAGCAACAACGCTCTACTGGTGTATTTGACCCCACAGGTTTTCCTCTTTCAAAATTTTGTATACATTGTTTTTACATATAGAACACGACATGCAGCGAGTGTTAGGATGAGTAGCTTGAGATCTGTTGTTGTATCCGGTGTAAAGTACTGTACTGTATAATGCAAGCTCTTGAATTCCTGTTGAAGATGACTTGAATAAAATTTCTTAGTATTGAAACCTGATTTTTGTAATAGCTTATGGTAGTTTCTATTTTTTTAGTTGGTCTTGTTATGATCTTTCATTGACTTACTTCCTGAATTAAGTCCACACGATTTTTTTTTCTCTGTGATAAAAGTCAGGGTTCGCTCTAAAATTATTTGTCTGTTATCTCCTCATAAGGTGTTTGGGATTGACTGGTATAATCCGCCGTGAACCAGTTAGGTTACCTGATCAACAGCTTCCCGGGCAATGCCGAGTTGATAGTATTCTCTATGTGGTGTAATCCATGCGGTCTTCGTCTTTCACATCGGAGCTGCCACCTGGCGCACTTCCCTGTGACACCCCTGCGCCTTTTAGTGTGACACCCCGCCCCTCCCTGTGTGACACCCTCTGCGTCTCCCTGTGTGACACCCTGCTCCTTCCTGCACCACGATTTATTATCATTATTATCCTACAACTTGTTCTGTTAGCGCCCTGCCTCGGATCATGCACGCTCCTCCTCATTTGTATGTACCCTCTCCTGCACCCAGCCCGCTACCGCCGCTGCACACCACCGCTTAATTACGGCTGTACAGATCTTGCGTTGTGTGTAAAAGCGTCACTAGCCTCACCTTTTAGACCCCGACATCTAATCAGCTTGGATGGATTTAGTTCAAGGGTGTTTGCATATTTACTGTGATTTAGTGTTATAGCTTAGGTGTGTGTGTGTGTGTGTGTGTGTGTGTGTGTGTGTGTGTGTGTGTGTGTGTGTGTGTGTGTATGGTTTTCTGTTCAGTACTCTACAGCGCCGCAGTACATCTCCCCGGCTGCTTAACAGTCACCAGAAGAAGTCATCCATTGTCTCGAGAGGACCACCGAGATCCCTATAATAGAACCAGGAGGTTGAGACGACTGGGCGGGAAGGAAGAGGTGTAGCCGAGTAGGATGGAGCAGCAGTCGCACCTCGTCACCTGTCTTCCTCTTTTCTATTCATTATCTCACATTCCTCGGATTAGTCATGAGAGATAAAGTCGAGTCATCATAGTTGTTTGTCATTACCAGGCATTGTTGATGGACCTTGTTGTTTTATGCATGACTCCCCCCACCGCCCCTCCCAGGCTATGATCTTCTCACCTGTAATTATGAGGATGAGGGAGTGGAGAAAATGGTAAAATAATCCACATTTTCTGTTACGGTGACGTTATAGGGGACGACTGGGCACCTGCACAAGTTGTGATGTGAGGTGGCTGTCTTGTTGGTGATCATACAGCAGGTGTTGGTGACTGTGGCAGGTGTTAATGACTTATGACAGTATGGGAGGTGTCGCTGGCAGTGTGTTGTGACAGGTTTTCGCGGGGTGTGGGTGTCTCGTGTTGATGTATGATGGACACTTGTTATGAGAGTTAATGTAAGGATAAGATAATAACTTACTGTCTTAGTGTTAGCTATTGAGAATTTACTTATCGACTAAGGTTCGACCATTTTGTCTTCCTTACTGTCCATTGTTATCGAGTCATGACGCTACACCACCAATATCAGTCATTTTTAGTGTTTTCGTTATATAAGTGACTTTTTCTTAGGATAGAAAAATGGTGTTAATTATTAAAAGAAAGAAAGCGTACATGTAACCGTAGCGACACTACAGCCGACAGCCACTGAACATTTATAACTGTTATGTTACTTTTTATATGCGTAACAGTTATGAAAGTTCACTGTAAATATATTATTCATTCAGGGTTTTTTTTTTTAGGTATATATTGTGTGGTTAAGTATAGCTTTTGTTTATAGCTGGTGAACACTGTTGTTTGTTTTAAGTTTATGTCATTAACAAATATCAAGAAAAATACTATAATACGAAGAAAAATTGGAGAAATTTAGTTTTGGTCCCAATACCTCTCACCTGTAAGACCATGAAGCATAGATAACGGATATTGGTAAAGGTTTGAAGGCTGTTTTGTCCTCACTGTTGGCTTTGTTTATTGTGTCTATCGTAAAGTGTTTCCAAAGTAGTGAAAGTTAACAGCAGCCTGAATCACTATCTACCGTGAAGTGTTCCCATCCATACTCCCACATCTTGACCCCTGACCTTTGACCTTCGAGAGTCAGGTCGTCAGAATACAATGGGTTGAGTGTCAGTGGCAGTGTCGTTATTGAAGAAGATTTCAGCTACTTGATGGAGTCATACACATCACGTGCCTCAGCCTCTGGCCTTGGTACTCTTGATAATGTGAGTCAGTAACGTTGAACAGTTGTACCAGCAGGTGTGGATTATAATGTGTGTCGTCAGTAGAGCAGTTGTAGCACCTGGTGTGGTTTATGTAGCACATTTGTGGCATCTCGTAGTAACAGTGTGACGTCATGTAACGACAGATGTGGTTATTCGTACAGCAGCAGGTGTGGTATTATGCAGCAGCAGGTGTGTCATTATGCAGCAGCAGGTGTGGCATCATACAGCAGCAGGTGTGGCAACATACAGCAGCAGGTGTGGCATCATACAGCAGCAGGTGTGGCAACATACAGCAGCAGGTGTGGCATCATGCAGCAGCAGGTGTGGCATTATACAGCAGCAGGTGTGGTATTATGCAGCAGCAGGTATGGCAACATACATCAGCAGGTAGAGACTATCACTTTTGTGGTTCTGTAAAAAAAATTCGCCTCAAGGCAGAGTTGACAAAGTACAATACTGTTGAAGCGTAGTCAAGCCATGAGACGCTGAAACAATCACCGTTTTAAAGTTTCATTAGCCAACACATACAAGAGAGGCGTTTACTGATGGTCTAGTTTATCTCTATATGGGCGAAATGGAGCCTTATATATGTTAAGTCCTTATGGAATAAAAGTAATTGCGTAAATGTCCCAGTATATTGAGAGAGCGGCCTTGAAGCGAGGCTGGCACGGGTTTGACGAGAATGTACAGATATAAGAACGTAAGAAAATAAGGAGTCTGCAATAGGCCGGTTGGCCTGTGCATGGCAGCTCCTGTCGAGAGTTACTACCACTCTCTATCATCCATGAATCTATCTAGCCTCCTTTTGAAACTTTCCAGAGTTCCCGCACTTACTACAACGTTGGTAAGCTTGTTCCACTCGTCCACCACCCTATTTGTGAACCAGTTTCTTCCTATCTCCCTCCTAAACCTTGAGTGCAAACATATTTCCTATTGCCGTATTTTTGGGAATAGGGGAAAACTTTACTTTCTGTTTCAGAATATTTTCCACATGTGTGTATCGTCATTGTCACCGTCGCAGTGATTCACGTAACACCAGGGTGGACATGCCCTGACAGTGTGTGGGAGGGAGGTTGTTGTTGACAGAGGGTGTGTTCCTGAGTGAGCATAAATAAAGGTGCGTGGTGGTGCTTGGGTCGTTCTCATCATAAAAAAGCTGACATACACACATTGACACACGCGCGTGATGTGGCTCTCAATTGTT